GGTAGTGGAAAAGGGGGAAAGGAGAAGGAGGTGACAGGAAGAAACAGCCCGACGATGTGAACGGTGAAGTGAAAGCATGGAAGTGCAGCAAGTGCAAGAACTTGACCCAGCGCCCGCCGCGGAACGGGCAACAGCCCCTCTGTTACGCCTGCTTTCAAAGGGCAAAGGCAGCCCCTGCCAATGCTCCCAAAAAGCAAAACGGCGGCAGCGGTCGGTCAGCCCCTGACGACCGGGCCAACGGCCACGACAAAGGGCCACGCCGGGCAGCTTCTGCTGGCCGCCCTAGCCAGTCTGCCGCCGCCGGCCCCTCTGCAAACGCCCAAACCGTGGTGGCCGCTCCTGCCCCAGGAGCCCTGCTCACCCTTACGGTGGGCGTCAGTGCGGAAGGAAAAACGGAAATTTCCGTCTTTACCAGCGCCGCGGCCCCGTGTCAGGCCCGAGCAAACGCTCGTACAGCGAGGCGGGGGGGGGGGGGGGGCACCTCGCCAGGCGACCAAGCAGGACCCAGGAAGCAAGCCCGCCAGTCCGGCAACTGCCGCACATTTAACAGTGGTGGCAGTTGCGCTTAGCCCGCTCTACAGAGAGGACCTACGTGCAGCTTCTCGTCGTGCTTCGAGACTTCATCTACAGATTGCTACAACCAAAATACAACCGACTCTTTCCCACAATTCTCTCTCTAATTCCCTTTAACCCCCCCTCCGCACTTTTCAGTACAAAGGCATTAAAAGGGTGCGTGGGGAAAAATTTTCCGGGGTCACAAAAATTTTTCGCAAAAATTGGGGCGCGAACCAAAAAAGGGTTTGGGGAAAACCGTGCCCTAGATAGCCCCCAAAGGTAAAAAAAGTGCTATTCCCCTTGTAAGTAAAAAAAAGGCGATTTGGCCCCCCCCCCGGGCCGCCTCTGGAGTGTTCCGCCCCAGGGAGTGCCGCGGGGGTGCGAGAGAGACAGAGCGAAAGGGCAGGCGGCGAAATCGCACCTGCCCTGCCATCCCTTGCGCCCGACACGCATCCGCACGCACGAGGGCCGCGTGTCAAAACCCGCTTAAAACCCTTTAAAGGGGGGACCCTGGTGAAACTTGCAAGTAGGCTTCAAAAAAATCCCAGAAAGTTGAAACTTTGCTTAATTATTAGGGTCATTAGGTGAGTTCCCAAAAAAATTCAATCCAAAATGTTGAACAGTCTCTGAGAAAAGTGGCTTTTTACTGTTTTTTTTGAGCGTTGGGGAAAAATCTTCCGGTCTTTCATAGCAACGGAAAGTCTTGAAAATTTTTTGGGTTATCCTGAATTGTATTGAAAGATTTTAGTGACGGAATTTTCAAATTTAACTTCTGTCCTGAGATATGAGTTTTTAAAATTTTTAAAATTGAAAAAAAGTGACTTTTTTTCCCCTTTTTTTTAAACTTTTAGGGTTGTAAAAAAAAAAATAGGGCTGATATCAAGATTCCGTCACCAAAATTTGTCGAGAAGTCATCAATGAATAGAGTCCATGCAAGACGACTCATGTAGGTGTCAACCAGGAACGCAGGAAGTCTTTCTACGACAAAATTTTTTGTCGACTGAGCAAAGCTGTGAAGTTGAGCGTAGAAGCCAACGACAACTGATTTAATGTTATTTTCCCTTTCCCAAAAGATAAAGAAACTACCCACTTAGCTTAAAGGTGTTCAACCTGTTGAATCTGAAACCTTCTATGCACATTTTTATCTATAAACTTTAAAGATACCATTTTTGGCAATTTTGGCGATTTTTTCTCCAGGGTCCCCACGGAATACAACTGCCAATCATTGACAATACCACCTCTGTACGCCCGGCATTAATCGGCAATAAACCATCAGACAGTGCAGTCTCCGCCCCGAATCCTAACAATACCTCACCCCAAATTTTGCATTCATGAAGACACTTTCATTCTTAGTGATAGTGTTTATGATAACCCATGCAAAAAATAATAGTTCTATGACTCAGTTTCAAAGTACCAGGAACTGTGTATTTTTAGACCTATTACGTTGGAGATAAGCTGCAAAAAAGAATTCAGCTATGTCCAAAATTCTCTAGATACTTTCTAACGCATTGGTTAAAGGTGCTTTGTGCAAAAGGTCAAAATTTTATTTTAAGAATTGGGCTGACCCTCTGAAACTTTTGATGATTGCATTTAATTTGTCTTTTGATGCCCTTTCCAATAGTATACAAGATTGTACACTTTGAGTAGTATCAAGAGAATTTTTGGCGCCGTTCTTTTTCTACCACTTGTTTCTGAATAGGTATGAAAATAAACCATTCATAGTACGCCCAAACTATGAGTCGTACAATAAATATTTTTGGTATGGGTTATCACAGCATTATAGCTGGCCAATCACCAAAGTTACAGTCAATATGGAGTTGTCATCTATTTAAGTCTGTGGTAGTTTGGTAAAATTTGAATTATTTTTTTCACTTACTTCTCCAGGTTGAGTGGAAAGCGGAAAAGGCCCTCTGGACATACCGCTTGGCTTAGTGCTGTCACAGTGCAGCCCTCCACACTGCACTGCTTCATAATTGACAACCTGAAAACAATTCAATGATTCAATTTGAAACAGAATGGCAAAGTGCAGTGCAGTTTGATTCTAAATATTATATGTAGAACTGGGCTAAATTTATTTTTTGTCAGCGGGATGACCAATCTTTCTAAAACCACTATCGTGATGGTTCAGTGTAGTTTCAGTTCGGAGATATAACGGGTGTTCTTTTCTTACCCGAGGCTTGCGTGTAGTTTTCTTACCGAACCTACCCCAGTAGGAACCTGTTGCAAGGCCTCAGACGAACACTCGTCCTGAAATTTTAAAAGAAAGAGCTTCATCTTTTAATACCTGGCTGGTATTACTTTTCATCTAGTTTCATCCCAAATTACTCCCTCCGCCTGAGTCGGAAACAAAACAATTTCACAACAGTATTCATGTAATGTTTCATTTCTCTACAAAATTGATAATGATTTAACACAGGTATCATGGCATATATAACCTGTGTTAAAACACTATTAATTTTATTGAAAAATGAAACATTACATGAATACTGTTGTGAAATTGTTTTGTTTCCGACTCAGGAGGAGGGAGTAATTTGGGATGAAACAAGGTGAAAAGTAATACCAGCTGGGTATTAAAAAATAAAGCTTTTTCTTTTAAAATTTTAGGATGAGCATTCAAAGAAAGATCATCTTAAAGGAATAAAGCATCAGGAACACATGCACTGACAGAAAAGCAAAACTCTTATGACAAGGAGCTGACTAAGATTGCAAAACATCTAGATTTGAGAAGGAACTGCTCAGTTTAGGACAATGCACTTTCACTACTCACCTCCCAAAATCAAAATCAAATCAATTGTCACTTTAGACAATGAATCTATGCAATGTATACAATTATAACCTAGCAAGGAAACCAGTTTGTTTACGCTAAAAGCAACAACCTAAACCTGAAATTCCACCAAAATTCTCCGAAAGAGTAGTGATGTTCAAAATACGCGTGAGGGGCTTTTAACTATACACGACGATAA